CTTCCCATTGCATTGGAAGTGAATCAGTTAGATAATATTCCACTGGATAATCCAGGAAGCGTACGTGACCGATCCAACCCTCACTTATCAATTCCACATAATCATAATCAAGGAGTTACATTAAAATGATTCTCGGTAAATACACCTCCTTTATTACAGCATCAGGAAGTATCCAGTGCTTCACCTTTTTTTAACATTACATTATTACCAGTTTAAATAACAATTAACCATTTACTCAAAAGTCCCCACTTATAATCAGTGCTTGAATAGATTATTTTAATATGTCTTGCATTGTCAATATTAAACTTAAACTTCTAAGATTTTGTTTATATTTTTACACACGTTTTATTTAGCAAGGATGCATTAAACTGACCAAAAGGGACAGTAAATGCATTTAAATTGTTAGAAAATATTTATATTTCAAATAAATGCTGTTATTTTGTTGAACCACTGATGTCACATGGACTATTTTAACTATGTCCTTGCTACGTTTCTGTGTCTTGACCGTGGTAGTACCCTCTAAAAGTGAACTTATAGGTATACTGATAGTTTACTAATTAAATACTTAATTAAACTTAATACTTAAAACTACTTAAAACTTAGAATACATGTGGAAGCATCTGTTGTTTCGGTTTCTTCTTCACTTGTGTTTTTTGGCAATTCTGTACAGAACGCCCCCTATAGTATAACAATGAAAACACGGATTCTAGGAGCACAATTACAGCTAAAATATATTTAGACTTTTTCTAAGTATAAGCCAAATATACTTAAATGTAATTTTAAGTATATTTCTGAAAAGTACATAAAGCCCATTTCTGAGAAGTACATAAAAAGTAGACTAAAAGTATACTTTCCTATTTTTAGTTTAAAAGAAGTATACTAATAGCACACTTGAATAAACTTCTTTTTCGTAAGGGTTGCTGTCTATGAAGGGTCAGAACAGAAAGCTCTCGGATTTCATAAAAAAATATCTTAATTTGTGTTCTGAAGATGAACGAAGGTTTGGAACGACATGAGGGTGAGTAATTAATGACAGTAATTAAGAAATTAATGGCTTATTTGGCATTTACAAAATTATCCAAAAGTATGCCGAAAAAGGGACTTTTTTTCCCGCTGAGTTTATATATATATATATGCAAATATACTGTAGATATGCTGCATTGATCGCAGGTCTGAAGAGTAAACGGGGCCAGTTCTGAAAAGGAAGTTGAGATTAAGTTTATCATTATGCTAAAACATTTGGTTCTGATGGAATGAGTAATAGTTTGATCTAATTACAAGCTTTAGTGTTGGTTTTTATCTCAGACAGCACATAACCTTGTTTAAACTTAATATCTGTGGTTACAAAGGTTGGTCTAAGGGTACGAAAACGGAGGAGAAACTATGGCCGTGTTTCCAGTCACTCGTGCATCGCTGCACACTTCCTCTTCCAGTAAACTGAAATGCTTTTGATGGAAATGATTCACACAAGTGAAAAAAATACAAAGAATATGTCACGTTAATATATAACAGCAATATAACTAGTAAATTCAGGTTAATTGGGGGATTTTTCCATTCATCTTAATTTACCCGAATTCACCATATAATGCACACCTGAATTGTTGTGAAAAAAAAACCCCACATTACATCACACACTTATAATCATGACCAGTTTTCAAAGCGTAGATTCTTTTTAAATCAGCCCATCAAGTTATAATCCGAGAACATTTTATAAGTCAAGTATACTTAAATGTCATTTTAAGTATATTTCTGAAAAGTACATAAAGCCCATTTCTGAGAAGTACATAAAAAGTAGACTAAAAGTATACTTTCCTATTTTTAGTTTAAAAGAAGTATACTAATAGCACACTTGAATAAACTTCTTTTTCGTAAGGGTTGCTTGTCTATGCAGGGTCAGAAAGCTCTCGGATTTCATAAAAAAATATCTTAATTTGTGTTCTGAAGATGAACGAAGGTTTGGAACGACATGAGGGTGAGTAATTAATGACAGTAATTAAGAAATTAATGGCTTATTTGGCATTTACAAAATTATCCAAAAGTATGCTGAAAAAGGGACTTTTTTCCCTCGCTGAGTTTATATATATATATATGCAAATATACTGTAGATATGCTGCATTGATCGCAGGTCTGAAGAGTAAACGGGGCCAGTTCTGAAAAGGAAGTTGAGATTAAGTTTATCATTATGCTAAAACATTTGGTTCTGATGGAATGAGTAATAGTTTGATCTAATTACAAGCTTTAGTGTTGGTTTTTATCTCAGACAGCACATAACCTTGTTTAAACTTAATATCTGTGGTTACAAAGGTTGGTCTAAGGGTACGAAAACGGAGGAGAAACTATGGCCGTGTTTCCAGTCACTCGTGCATCGCTGCACACTTCCTCTTCCAGTAAACTGAAATGCTTTTGATGGAAATGATTCACACAAGTGAAAAAAATACAAAGAATATGTCACGTTAATATATAACAGCAATATAACTAGTAAATTCAGGTTAATTGGGGGATTTTTCCAGTCATCTTAATTTACCCGAATTCACCATATAATGCACACCTGAATTGTTGTGAAAAAAAAACCCCACATTACATCACACACTTATAATCATGACCAGTTTTCAAAGCGTAGATTCTTTTTAAATCAGCCCATCAAGTTATAATCCGAGAACATTTTAAGAAACAACCAACTAGAGGATGCAGAGTCTGTTTGTCACTGTATTTTGGCAAATTAATAATTAAACATTATGCTAAAAACTCGTTTTCAATCTTCAAATGCTACAAGACCCCTTATAAACTTTACTCTAGTTCACCAGCTTCCATCTCAGTAATAATATCTTTGAGCTGATAATATTTAGTGATCACTCTGCCAAGCCTTTCATATCTGAATTATTCGGAAAAGTAATTCTACAGCTGTGAAATCAATAATAAAAAAAATTCTTTAACCACATTTCTAAGCTGTTTTCATGGGAAATCTGCGAAGTGTTAGTATCATTATATTAGCTATTAATATCATTATATTATATTATTGTTTATCCTGATATTCCTTTTAATATAATATAATTCACACATATATATGTGCACACCTTATAGTTGTGCACATATGCATTGCATATGATAAAATTGATATTTTCCGTTTTTAAATCCATATCCTTTATAATCCATCTTCCGTCACCAGAGGTGAGTTATCTGCACGAAACTAAACCCATTCTCATCCAGCATACAGTCTGAGGCCCCAGACACACTCTAGGACAGGGGTTTTCGAACGTTTTGATGCCACAAACCAGTGTATTTATTGTAAACTAAAACTAGAAAAAATTATTTTTGTGAATTAAAATCAAACTGAAATAAAATTTCATAAAACTTAAAAAAAAAATGTAAGCATACTTTTATTGTATTATGAGTACTGGTGACCTAAAACTTTATGACATCCGTGACAGTGATTTTGACCTGTTTATTACAGTACATAATTTGATAAAGATAATTAAAGTGTATTTTGAACAATACAAGCAACGCCTATGAAGTGGAGATGTGAAAATGATCTGAAAAGAATAGTTCTGTTTATTTCACCAACTCTTTTCGCCACACATGCCTTCATCAGGGCTTACCATTGCAAGTCGAAAAGACTCATTTAAATACAAACAAAACCAAAATTCAAACTTGCAATTAACCAGTTGGAAAGTAAGATGGTATAGCATCCATCTATATCACCAGTGGTGAGATTCAAATCATCATGTTCAAAGCAAAATAACAGAAAAAGTGAAAAAGAAAAGTATACAGACAACAATTCAGGTGTATGAAAGAATATAAAGTTAAAAATACATTTGTGTCTTTTAATATATTTGTACAGATATATCTACAAACATATAGGCCTACCTGTTTATAAACATATGCATATTTGGAAGTTTTATATAAAAAGGATGCTCATCTCAGCTGTTGTGTTGATGGAAAATTCATACTATTGATCCAACTGTTGAACGATTTGAAGGTAAGAGGCATCATCAAAAGAGAAAAAGTTCATTTTTAAGACAAAATAATCAAATTCAAACAAAAAAGCTGAAGTTGGAATTTGATTAGTCCTTTTAGTGATAAGGATAATGAGACATCAACAATAACCCTCAAATGACAATTACAGACAAAAATGGAAGAACACTTCATTTATTCATCATTTGTTACATACAAGATGGAATTTAATACCTGTTTATATTAAAGAGTGTACAACATTTAGTATTTTTAAAACTACGCTTAAAGTATGGTTTAAAGGCAGGGTATGTGATTTTTCAAAAACGCTTTAGAAAACTGATTCGGGCCGAATCGCAAAACAAACTTGTAGCCAATCAGCAATAAGGGGCGTGTCTACTCGTGATGTGGAGGAGAGCGCGTTCAGTGCATGGGACGGACATTAGCCGAGCCGAGCGACAGAAAGATAGAGATGGCGGATAAAAAACAAAAGAGGAAAACGTCTGCGGAACGATAAGGCAAGAAGTAGGACCCGTGTAAATATCGGATCAGCTTTCCAGCGCTGGAGAGAACTCAAGGAGCGGAGGCCTGCGATCGGACGCCGAGGTTGCTTTGTTTCTTCTCAATAGGTGAGTAACACCGTGTCTACAACAGCTAAAGTCTGACTACACTGGACGCGATCAAGCGACCATTGAAAACCATTTGAAATGTGTGTCAGCAAGTCATAAATAGAACCCGGCAGCAGTTTTCTGTCGGGATTTGTTGCGCCGCGCCACTCACGTCCGTAGACACGGTGTAACATTGGTTTTGCTTTGTTTCACAGAACTAATCGTTGCCTGGGTTGCGTACGTATATGTGGGGCGGAGCTATCAAAATAGGGGCAAGACCCTTTTGGGGTAGGGGCGTGTTTGTTTTGGTGATTTCAAATATCAACATTGGCTACCAGAAATCACTTACTCTGCCTTTAAGGAAAATCAAATCTGTGATCATTGACTTGACTTTGTAATTTAATGTAGTATGATGTGATTTTGTATGTGTTGTATGTATTGTATTGTTTGTGACTTAATATTGTAATTTTGTAACAACATCCTGCCCAGGGACTGCAGATGCAAATTAGCTTTATAGCTAACTCTGGCACAACACTGTTGTTGTGCGTTGTCCCTCTACAAATAAATGAAATAAACTACAACTAAAACTACAGTGTGCATCATTTATATGTACTTTTGCATTCAAAGAGAGAAACACAGAAAACAATGCAAAAAATGTATAGATTCATATGACCTCAACTTTACCAACTAGTAATGGCAACTCAGGCTGTTTTAAATTGAATAATGTATTCCAGGCCATTCAAAATGAATCAATACCGATGATTCAGTGATTTGTTGTTAAGTATTTCTTATATGATTCAATCATACAGTCTAGAAGTTCTCATAGTGGTGAACAAAATGTGTCTGGTCGCGTTTGTTCATTTGCTGGCAGGCCTTCTCAACATTCTTAGTCAGACCGGGAGGACCACAGCTAAACACGCCGATCTTCTCCACCTTTAACAAAGAAAAATCATCAGTGGTGTACGTGAGGTTGATGTAACTGTCACAATGATGTAATTAAATGACTTATTAACCTAAAACTTAAAATGACTCCTTTCACAAGATCCCATATGAATCACAGATATTTACTAATACATGAAGATTTTGAAAAATGCAATAGTGCATGCCCTACAACTGTAAAGATAACTATATCTATAATGATAACTGTAACGATAAAGATAACTTTAACAATAACCATAATGATAAAGATAACTATAACGATAACTATAACAATAAAGATAATAACTATAATGATAACTATAAGGGTAACTGTAATGACAAAGATAACTTTAACGATAACCATAACGATAAAGATAACTATAGCGATAACTACAACAATAACTCTAATGATAACTAACTATAACATAAAGATAACTATGATGATAATAATAATGATAACAAATGATAAAGATAACTTTAACAATAAAGATAACTATAATGATAACTATAACTATAAATATAACTGTAACAATAACGACAACCATAACGATAAAGATAACTATAACAATAACTACAACGATAACTATAACTAAAAAGATAATAAGGATAACTATAAGGATAACTATAACGATAAAGATAACTTTAACGATAACTATAACAATAACTAGAATGATAACTATAACAATAAAGATAATAACTATAACTATAAGGATAACTGTAACGATAAAGATAACTTTAACGATAACTATAATAATAACTAGAATGATAACTATAACAATTAAGATAATAACGATAACTATAAGGATAACTGTAACGATAAAGATAACTTTAATGATAACCATAACCATAACGATAAAGATAACTATAGTGATAACTACAATGATAACTATAATGATAAAGATAGCTATAATGATAAACATAACTATAATAATGACTATAACGACAACTATAATAATGACTATAAGGATAAAGATAACTATAATAATGACTATAACGACAACTATAATAATGACTATAAGGATAAAGATAACTATAACGATACTGATAAAGATAATTGTAACTATGACAATAAAGATAACTATAAGGATAACTGTATTAGCGTCCACAACAACACAATAATCTACTATCATTATAAGTGCATGCTGCAGTTTTGTCATCTCCCCCTGTAAATGCTCAAGCTCTTTAAGTCTGCTGGATTCTGATTGGCTGTCAATGTTTTATCGTTCATCAGCTGGAAAAATGTTTCTGAAATTGACTCCAACGATATTGTTCCTTTGTGTCGTTATCATTGTGGTGTAAACTTTCCTATTGTCATAGAACTAGAATGATTATTAAAAGCTTTATAATTATCATTATAGTTATTGTCCTTGGTGGAGTTTAACTCTTTCCCTGCCAAACACGGAATTTTCCGTTATTCATGAGACAACGCTTCCCTGCCAAACACGGAAATTTCCGTTATTCATGAGACAACGCTTCCCTGCCAAACACGGAATTTTCCGTTATTCATGAGACAACGCTTCCCTGCCAAACACGGAATTTTCCATGTTTCCGTGTTTTCACTGTTATACGATAGGGGGCGCTATTACGCATCTCCTGAAAGTGGCGATCAAAAACACAGACCAGGAAGACGCAGAAACAAGCGATCTCAAGCATATGCATATGAAAGTAAGCATATGCATATGAAAAAATAATGCAATCATCAACACTAACCGCATATAAATGAAAACTGCCTAATGTTACCGAGTGAAATGTCAATCCAGAAAGTGGTAAAGGCCTGTGCAAGCTTTGGGAGTACTGACGGAAGCCATCTACTGCATCTTTGCTTTGATTATATTACTGAATATGATCCAGATGTAGTATTTAATAAAAATGCGATTTTCTCAGCTTTTTTCTCAAAATTGAGCTTTTTTTATGAAACCTACCTACATTCAAGTGTTGATAAAAACACAATGCTTGAAGCTAGAATAAAACTGTCTGATCTTTATTTTGTTGTTACCATTTTGTTGTATAACAAAATATTCTGAGGGCCATGAAATTCTAGTGAAAATCAGCAAAAACGCTGGCGGTGGCTGGCAACTTTTGTCAAAAACGCTGGCGGGGAAAGAGTTGACGGTAAAGCTCCAATGCATCTTAGATGCAAATTATTTGGCTTCTGACCTCTGGATGAACTTCCTGTAGCGAACTGAGAAAAGCCAAAAAGGGTGGGCGGCCGAAGTGTGTGATGGAGCGCAGGCCAGTGAACAGACTCCTGTTCCACACCTTCTGAAAGTGCCGCTCACAGACATACTTGAGAAAGAGAAAGAGTGATGATTTTACACCCAACCATAACTTCATATCAGTTAACCTGCTTTAATTATGTCACAGTAGTTCAGTGGAACTTGCAGTAACCTTATAAACCAATAAAAAACTTATTATTCTCAAATAAACAATGGATTTACCAGCATGGTGGTGCGGAGATCGAATTTCTCAGCCAGCTGTGTGATGTAGAAGTGCACTGACACCAGCTCCTGAGCGTCCATGTCCTCCACCTCTCTTATGATGTCAGACACCCACTCGAACTGACGCTGAGTCCGTGTCACCCAGATAAAATACACCTAGAGCCACCGTGTTAAGAGTTGTTAAAAACTTAATCATTAATTACAGGACATTGAAAACTTTTTGCATGTTGTATTGTACCTTTTTGCAGTGAAATTTGAACTTGACTGAAGATTTGAACACCAGGTCTTTTAAGATGGAAGCAAAGGGTGTGACTCCAATCCCAGCACCCACCAATACTGACACCTCATAGTCTTTCCACTCCTGATGACCCTCCCCAAATGGCCCATCCAGATACAGCTGTGGAGATACAGCAGAATCGAGCTTTCAAATACTGTTCATTTTATCACAAAATTCAAACAATAAATGTCCTTTTTACACCTTTTTAAATGTGGTGCGACAGAGCGCTGTAGCGCCTCAGTTCAAGTGACAGAACAAGGGATTAATATATCTGAAAATAAATAGCGTTGAATATAATAGTTTTGTTATTAATTTTAACTTCTAATATTATGTACCAAATGAGGGGGCTCCCTGTATAGTATCGGTATCGGCAGATATAATTCTAAATAATCGGTTATCGTATCGGCTGCATTCAGGTTTATCTACATCTATATGAACCAAAGACAAACTGGGTATCCTTGCCTTTGGATATCCTCCAAACTCCTGGAGTTTCTCAGGGGTGTAGGCCTCTCGGAGTTTACTGGTCCAGGGTCCCACTGCACGGATATGAAGGCTGAGGGTCTCCTCATGTGGTGCGGAGGTCAGGGTGAAAGGATGGTACTCATCTGTGCCCAGCGCCAGGCATGCAATACGTACCCACTGTCCTGAGCGGTAGACAAAACCTTGTGGACGCTTAAACTCCAGGTAAGTTACATCTGGCAGTTCAGAGAAATTGAGAATCAGGTTTGTTATCAGTGCTACTAGTCCACTTTAGAAATTCTACTTACCATAAACAACTTTGCCAGTGCATGTCAACTAACTTTCATTTGAGTTTTAGTAGACTGTTTATTTTATGTTATTTTAAGGTTAGAGTTAGTTTAAGTTCACATGAACAAGCAAAGTTACTTATAGTCAGCGTTGGGGGTAACACATTTCAAGTAATGCGAGTTACGTAATCAGATTACTTTTTCAAGTAACTAGTAAAGTAACACATTACTTTTAAATTTATGAGAAAATATCTGTTACTTTTTCAAAAAAGTAATGAAAGTTACTTAAAGGGATAGTTCACCCAAAAATGAAAATTCTGTCATTAATTACTCACCCTCATGTCGTTCCAAACCCGTAAGACCTCTGTTCATCTTCGGGATCTGAGAGCTCTCTGACCCTCCCATAGACAGCAAGGATTCTTACACGATCAAGGTCCAGAAACTTAGCAAGGAGATCGGTAAAATAATCCATGTGACATCAGGGGTTCAACCGTAAATTTATGAAGCTACGAGAAAACATTTTGTGCGCAAAAGAAAAAAATAAAACGACTTTACGCGGAGGTCTTACGAGTTTGGAACGACATGAGGGTGAGTAATTAATGACAGAATTTTCATTTTTGTTTGAACTAACCCTTTAAAAGACACCTCTCCTGTCCTCGAGCTGAGAGAAATTGGGAGTAAGTGTAGCGGCACTTCCTTCAAGCTGAGGCTTATTGATTTCACTTTTAATGTGAAAGGGCCTTTAAAGTTGCCAAAAACATAACTTTTGGGTTTGTTGTTATTAAAAATAAATAAGCGAGCCCAGTTCAAGTGACAAAAAGTAATAAAAAAATTATGTAATGTATTACTTTCGATACAAAGTAACTATAAGTAACGCAATTAGTTACTTTTTTAAATGGAGTAACGCAATATTGTAACGGATTACTTTCAAAAGTAACTTTCCCCAACAATGCTTATAATCAGTAGAATGGCTATTGGGTGACCATCAAAATAAAGTGTTAGCAGATACTAAGCAGACAGTCTACTAATACTCTAATGATTCATAGTTGACATAGTTGCAAATAAGTTTCTTATCGCTAGTAGAATGTCTAAAGTGGACTATTGAAAGAAAGTGTTACCTAATTGGTGATTTTAAACATCATTTCATTTTAAAATCAATAAAGTGAGTCCTGAATTGGAGTCAAGGTTTCCTATTATGAGACGCCGTATGATTTCACAGCCAGAGCAATTAGAAGTGAACACTTTACAGCATATGACACAGCGCTGTGTGCTCGGGCCCTTGGAGACTCTTGAGAAAAAAGAGCTTTGTGCTGGATCTGCTGAGAGTATTGTCTACCTGAGGGCAGCAGCTCGGCTTTCACCACTGGGATCTCCACCTTCTTCCTGTTGAGGCTGATGAGCTTGTACAAGCCGATAAACAACTAACTATTTAGACAGACAGACATCTGGACAAATAAATAACTAGACAGAAAGACAGCCAGTTAGATTACTAATTAGATAAACTGACAGGAGGACGAATAACTAGTACACAGAAAGACAGCCAGTTAGATAACTAATTCAAAAAACCGACAGGTGGATGACTAAATAACTAGACAGAAAAAATACAGCCAGACAGATAACTAACCAGACAGAAAGACAGCCAGAGAGAAAACTAATTATACAGACAGACAGATTACTAACAAACTATTTATCTGTCTATCCATTTGTATGTATAGTTAACTATCTGTATTCTTGTCCGTCTAGTTCAGGGATATCCAAACTCAGTCCTAGCTCTAACAGTTTAGCTCTAACTTGACTGGAAGTTTCAAGTATACCTAGTAAGACCTTGATTAGCTGGTTCAAGTGATATTAATTGGGGTTGGAGCTGAACTTTGCAGGACAGAGGCCCTCCAGGAGGAGGATTGGACACCCCTGGTCTAGTTAGTTATTAGTCTGTCTGCCTATTTAGTTAGTTAACTGTCTGCAATTGCATAGTAACATCCTCCCAAATGCCAAACTTAAAATCATTGTGGTGACTATTGTACAGGTCATCTCCACTCACATTGTCTTCATAATATGTAAAAATCTAGTTATTTCTGCTACTGCATCAGCCTGTTTAATTTAGTCACATGCTGCTAAAGATTATTATGTTCAAAGCGAAACCTGACCAATATTACATCACAGAATGCTGGCATCACTTCCCACAAATACTGATTGCCACATTTCTCAATAGCCAATAAAGGACGGGTTTCACAAAGGCTTAAATCTAACCCCTAGCTGAGCTCCTAATGACCATACACATGTCAGGACAAGTTACATAATGCTACACATGCTCTAAGATATCCACAGCAGAGATATTACACATTAACGTCTCACTTCTTGATCTGTCTTTGACGAAGTTCCTGGTCTTGCTCCCCCTCAGGCCTGTGAGTAAGCTCTTCCACGGCTGAAGAACTACAAAGGAAATTAAAATCAACTTTAGCTGTATTACTGTGTACTCATTTAGAATGAGTTTCATGTTATATACTTTTTCTTTACCTATTTTTCTTAATGAAAGATACTTGCTGTTGTCTGGATAGTTTTTTCTTACCAAGTACTTCCATGCCTGGGAATACATGAACAACAGTTTCAAAGTAAAATGCCTCTGTGTTGGGTGAACTAAGAAATATAATGACATGGGGGATTAGACCATGAAGAAAAATATATCTTTAACCTTTAATATTGAGCTGAGCTGAATGGTCTCGCAGCAGAAAGTGAAAGTCCTCCCAGGAGAAGCAATCTTTGTTATCAAGACCTGCTGCCTGAAGCATAGCTGCTATACCATCCTCAGCCTGACTCTTAGATAAAGCACTTCCAGAGATATCAATGAAAGACCTGCACAAGTCAAGAGGAAAAACTGGCTAGAAGAAAGAAGAAATCCTTCAGAGGATTTATTGAAGTGTAAAAGTGTAATCTGAATCTCTAATTTCAGGTTATTATCAAGAAATGTTTGCACAAAACACTTTTGTTCTCTACAAGGCTCAAAAACAAACAAACATCAGAACCGACCTGAGTAAGGAAGTGAACTCTTCCTTGGACAAGAAGCCATCTTCTTTAATGTCATGCATTGAAAACAGAAGCTTGGACTTCTCCTCGGGAGTACCTGGATTTACAGCGAACATTGTAACACTCTTACCAACACAACACAGTAACACCATAACACTGTAAAACTGTAGCATTCTAACAACACAAGGTTACTTTGTAACATTGTAATGCTGCAATATTATAAAATTGTAACATCCTAACAACATAGCAAGGTGATTTTGTAGCATTGTAACATTCTAATACTGTAACGTTGTAACATCATAAAACTATACAATTGAAAAACGGTTATATCATGTAACAACAATGTAAGAAGGTAAACATTGTAACATCATAAAACTGTAACATTGTGTAACATCGTAACACTGTAAAAATGTAAAACTGTAATATCCTAACAACGTCACTTTGTAGCATTGTGACATTGTAAAATTGTAAAAGTGTAACAGCCTAAAAATGCAACAAAGTAGCTTAGTAGCATTGTAATATCGTAAAACTGTAACATTCTAACACTGAAACGCTGAGAAATTTTATTAAAATTGTAACATTCTAACAATGTAAATTTGTAGCATAGTAATAAGCCTCGTTCAGACTTTTGTGCATAGCCAGATGGAATCTGATTTGAATCAGTGACAGTGTATTGCAACTGTTCATATCCAATTTGTGTGTCCATAAACGCTCTTTCATTTTACGGAATGTGCCTTGGTTTCTATGGCAATGCCATTGCGTTGTTATGCCTACGCTAAAAACAACATTAGTCACATGCTGCTAAAGATTATTATGTTCAAAGCGAAACCTGACCAATATTACATCACAGAATGCTGGCATCACTTCCCACAAATACTGATTGCCACATTTCTCAATAGCCAATAAAGGACGGGTTTCACAAAGGCTTAAATCTAACCCCTAGCTGAGCTCCTAATGACCATACACATGTCAGGACAAGTTACATAATGCTACACATGCTCTAAGATATCCACAGCAGAGATATTACACATTAACGTCTCACTTCTTGATCTGTCTTTGACGAAGTTCCTGGTCTTGCTCCCCCTCAGGCCTGTGAGTAAGCTCTTCCACGGCTGAAGAACTACAAAGGAAATTAAAATCAACTTTAGCTGTATTACTGTGTACTCATTTAGAATGAGTTTCATGTTATATACTTTTTCTTTACCTATTTTTCTTAATGAAAGATACTTGCTGTTGTCTGGATAGTTTTTTCTTACCAAGTACTTCCATGCCTGGGAATACATGAACAACAGTTTCAAAGTAAAATGCCTCTGTGTTGGGTGAACTAAGAAATATAATGACATGGGGGATTAGACCATGAAGAAAAATATATCTTTAACCTTTAATATTGAGCTGAGCTGAATGGTCTCGCAGCAGAAAGTGAAAGTCCTCCCAGGAGAAGCAATCTTTGTTATCAAGACCTGCTGCCTGAAGCATAGCTGCTATACCATCCTCAGCCTGACTCTTAGATAAAGCACTTCCAGAGATATCAATGAAAGACCTGCACAAGTCAAGAGGAAAAACTGGCTAGAAGAAAGAAGAAATCCTTCAGAGGATTTATTGAAGTGTAAAAGTGTAATCTGAATCTCTAATTTCAGGTTATTATCAAGAAATGTTTGCACAAAACACTTTTGTTCTCTACAAGGCTCAAAAACAAACAAACATCAGAACCGACCTGAGTAAGGAAGTGAACTCTTCCTTGGACAAGAAGCCATCTTCTTTAATGTCATGCATTGAAAACAGAAGCTTGGACTTCTCCTCGGGAGTACCTGGATTTACAGCGAACATTGTAACACTCTTACCAACACAACACAGTAACACCATAACACTGTAAAACTGTAGCATTCTAACAACACAAGGTTACTTTGTAACATTGTAATGCTGCAATATTATAAAATTGTAACATCCTAACAACATAGCAAGGTGATTTTGTAGCATTGTAACATTCTAATACTGTAACGTTGTAACATCATAAAACTATACAATTGAAAAACGGTTATATCATGTAACAACAATGTAAGAAGGTAAACATTGTAACATAATAAAACTGTAACATTGTGTAACATCGTAACACTGTAAAAATGTAAAACTGTAATATCCTAACAACGTCACTTTGTAGCATTGTGACATTGTAAAATTGTAAAAGTGTAACAGCCTAAAAATGCAACAAAGTAGCTTAGTAGCATTGTAATATCGTAAAACTGTAACATTCTAACACTGAAACGCTGAGAAATTTTATTAAAATTGTAACATTCTAACAATGTAAATTTGTAGCATAGTAATAAGCCTCGTTCAGACTTTTGTGCATAGCCAGATGGAATCTGATTTGAATCAGTGACAGTGTATTGCAACTGTTCATATCCAATTTGTGTGTCCATAAACGCTCTTTCATTTTACGGAATGTGCCTTGGTTTCTATGGCAATGCCATTGCGTTGTTATGCCTACGCTAAAAACAACAATAACAGCAATACAGTTTGCAATACAGATGCTGTCTTATGACATGACGACATGTTGCCGTCGCGCTGAATTATGAGGCAGCGGCAGAAACGCAGGAAGTTGGAATGCGCGACTTTATTCCATGCTGCCTTCTCCGCTGGCTTCAACACTCAAAGAGGTGCGTATACCGGTATACTGGCAGTCTATTGTCTTTTCCCGCTTGACTTACAGTTTGCTGTAACAAGCACAAGCTTGTTTCTGCAAAGACATTCGTTATGTTTTCTACAAAAATGTCTGACATGTTTATGTTTTACGTGGCAAGAGAATGTGAAAAATCTATGCTAAACCCGATCTGAGCGGTCAGATTGAAACGAATTTCCAGAAATGCGATTTGAAGAGGATTCCAAACCATATACGAATGTAGCTCGAAACGGATTTGCACAAATCAGATTTCATGTAGTTCGTTGCCGTTCAGACTTTCTAAATATGATCGGATTTCAATCGGATTTGGGCTGACAGTCTGAACGAGGCTATATTCTAACATTTATCACTGTAAAATTGTAAAACATCCTAACGACATAAAAAGGTAACTTTGTAGCATTGTAATACTATATAACATTGTAACATCAGTAGCAAGGTAACTTTCTAGTAGTGGTCGACCGATACGGGTTTTTTGACAGCCGATACCGATGCCGATATCTTGGAAAAGCAGGGTGGCCGATGGCTGATATAAAGCCGATATAATTTTATTTACTGCATAAAGCGCAGCATAATTTGAAATCACGAGTTTAAAGTTTGTCGATCGCGCGTCAGCATTCATCCTGTCAGCATTCAATTTGCACGGATCGGCTGAACGACGACAGCGAACAAGAGGGAGAATGTGAGCGGTGTGCTCTCATGCCCTGTGGCTGCTGCTCTCAGCGCCGTCAAAATAAAAGTCCCGCCTCGAATTGGGGTGCTGTGTGTACATTAATGAGGAAAAAAAATTATCTTAAATGATTTTAGCAAATGGCTGCAATATAACAAAGAGTGAAAAATTTAAGGGGGTCTGAATACTTTCCGTACCCACTGTATCTGCCTTGGCGATATATCGGTCGACCACTACTTTCTAGCATTGTAACATCACAACATTTTAACACTAACTTTGTAGTATTTTAAAATGACGAAATTGTAACACTGCACTGCAATACAAAAGATTTGAACAACCTCACCTGTCATGAAAATGACAATAACATCCAAGAACTCCCGAAACGAAAGGTATCCGTTACCGTCCTTGTCAGCCAGTGTGAACATGGACTCTACAAAGAGTGAGTCAGGCTTCAGACCGAGCACGCTGGCGAATTCAACTCGTGTGAGCTCACACTGTAAAGCTTCTCTGGTCCTATTGCTCAAGTCTCCTGCATCACTTTTATCAATGTCCAAGACCTGGAGTCAAAAAACACATGTATGATGCTACTCCACGACTTTGTGACACTTTGTCAGTAGAACGAAGACAAAATGACCTTGTAGACATATGAGGAGACAACAGAAACACTTACCTTTGAAAAAGCGTGCTTGAAGAACGTCTCCACAATCTTTTCCCTCTGTGCTCTGGTCACTGCATCTCTGAGAATCTCTTTCTCACTCATTTCCTTTACAGTTAGAATTCTGCCCTCCAACTCAGAGCGCAGGTGACCCAGGAACTTTGACCTCTGACCAACATCCTCAAAGAACAAAACCTTTTGGGCAGAAATCCAGCATCTTAATGTCTCATTGAGCATTAGATGAATGATGGCAACAGACTGAACTACCAAATTCCTACCAGATCATACTCTTTGGGGATCTTCAAGAGTAGAGCACGATGCTGATGGTCATTGGATATTAACACATTAAGGTGGTCTTGATTGCCCAAGCTGTGAGAACTGAGAAGAGACCCGTTCTCATCAAAGGTCTGGAGTACTGTCTTCTCGTTGAACGCAAGTGCGACTTGTCGGGGTGCTGTATTGTGCCCTAACCACTCTTTGGCTGAATAAAAAAAATAAAATGCAATGACAGAGGTTAATAAACTCATCTTCACTGGTGTTTCAGCCCAATGTGACACTGCATGTGATATTACTGACCAAAAGTTTCATGTGCAGGTTTCTTGTCTGTGGTGGAACCTCTGAGCTTCTTTTGGAATCGTTTGTATCTGGCTGTCCGGACACGAGCAACTACACAAGCTACGATGTAGCTTGCTGTCGAGAGATCAACATTTCAATATTTTTTAAACAAAACATTAAAAATAATTAAAATACTGTACATGATTATTATTATTATATAAACATTTTATTATTTATATTAAATGCTATATGTAAAATATTATTATTTAAATTTATTATTTTAAACGGAAATGTACACAAAGTTTAAGCTAGCTTAATTAATAAATAAATAAATAAATAATGCTGTTATATATTTTTATTTTAAAACAAGAATAACATTCCAATCTTTCTTAAACAAAATATGAAAATACATAATTATTGTTAAATAAAAATACTATTATTTATATAAAATATTATATATAAAATACTATCATTTAAAATTCTAATAAATAATACTATTTTTAATTCTATTATCCAATAAATAATACTATTATTTAACATTTAAGTTATTTTAAATGGAAAATACACAAAGTTTAAGCTAGATTAAATAAAATAAATAAATAAATAAATAATGTTGTTATATATTTTTACTTTAAAACAAGAATTACATTCCAATATTTTTTAAACAAAACATGAAAATATATAATTATTGTAATATAAAATACTATATAAAAAATACTGTTATTTAAAATTCTAATAAAAATACTATTTTAATACTATAATCTAATAAATAATACTATTATAATAATAATTAAAAAAATTTTTTTAATTTAATTAATAATAAAATAATTTCATTATTTTATAATACAATTCACACAAAGTTCCATTCCAATATGTTTTTAATAAAAGATCATATTATTGTTATTATTTTAATAAAATATACAGTATAATACTATTACTTGTGTTTCACATTTTTCTTCTGTGGTTTAATAACTAATGCAATAAACAAACAAACACACTTTTATAATTCCAGATCAAATGCAGTGGTCTATAAATATATGAAATTGCATTTTAATTATAACTGAATTATAGCACACACACTGATGAATGACACTGACCAACAGGAAACAGGAAGAGCGCCACCACCGTTACACCAAAACCAGCCTTGCTGCTGTTGTCAAAGTAACTCATAGAGGAGGCCTTTGTGCAGGGGTGAAGATCGGAGGATGTGATTGGCTGAGGCTGGGGGCAGGGATCACCTGCACAAAAAGTGCAAAATAAATACATCACAGCTTTGTAATATGATTTTTTGTAGTATGTTTGTAGTACAACATATGATTTTTTTAGTACAACGTACGAGTATTAATGTTGTTAATGCATTTGGGTTGCTTATTACCGTTCACCCAGAAGAATACATTTCTTTGAATGTCGCCCTCCTCTGCACCGGTGACGTCCAGAAGGACATCATGAAATGTGGTGTTACGTATGGCTTGGATCTCCTCCTCAGTGAACAACCTGAGATGAAGAATATCTTGCAGTGTTTAGTGTGCTCATCTGACCAAACTGATATGGCTGTTCATCAAGTAATCATCAAAGGAAAATGTCCCACCCATTTTGTTTGTTCTCAAACCAGAACCGGTCAGCGTTTCTTATGCGTTCAAACTGGTCCAGGATGATGCTGGAAAACACTGGACCTGGTCCTTCCTGTGATTCTAGCAGGCCGCCCACAAATAGATCTAGTCTGGAGGTATCATTCTCATATAACTCTGCGAGCTCCCTTAACAACTGAAAATCAGTGAAAAGAGATTCAAAGAAACAGATATTTGCATTGTGGTGGTTGGGTGATGGGCATTCTGGTTTTTTGCGTAACTTGTCAGTGAACTACGGCTATGTGTAGTAAATTCTGCTCCATCTGAAAGCACGTGATGATGATTTCCTGCTGATTACAGAACCGGCTTTTTTAACTAAATGCGCATGACAATCGCATTCGATTAATCGTGCAGCCCTAATTCTGGGTATTTGTTATTGAGAGACTCTTGCTGATGGCTGTAGCAGCACCTGTGTGTTATTGAGTTTAGGGTTGATCTCGTCCCAGCTGTTGACCGGCCGCATGTTGAGGCTCTCTCTGATCTGGTTATAACTGGGCAGCCCAAAATCACGCCCCCTCTGGATGGTCAAAGCCACTGCATCAGAGCGCGAGAACCGCAAGGGGCCGTACATGTAGTCTAATGGAGAAAAGGAACAGAGAAGATGTGTTAACCAGCAGATCTTCTTGATGCCATTCAATTATTTGAAAAAACCAACCTCTCAAATCCTCCACAATGATGTTGTCCTCTCGCTCAGCGATCTGAGAAGCCATGCCCATTATTAGCTCATCTACATCCTGACTGGACTGCATGTTTGGATTCTAAAACATATATAACTTGATGATATAGCAATGGAATTTTTTTTATTTCATATTATAACTTTATAGTATATATATATATATATATATAAAATAAAGAAATTCTTCAGGACAAAATCAGTCAAAATTTTAGTAAAGCCTCCATGTTTAACATTTTAATAGTATGGTTGCATAATCTAAACCAAACCCGTTTATCATGACTCACATTTCGGTTCCAGAAGGTGTTGCATAAACGCAGGCCAGGAGATTTACTTGCATCGTTGTTCACAGCGCTTTTGTAGTGACACGTCCTGTTTCTGAATCCCCAAAATCACATTTCAGCACAATTTTAGACACAAATGAGGATTTTATACATACACTACCATTTGAAAGTGTGGGATCAGTTTATTTAATTATTGTATAAATATTGATTAATTTATTTAAAGAAATTACTTTTACTTTTAAATTATTTTTATTCTGCAATCAAATTGCATTAAAACGTTTAATGTCCAATCAGCATATCAGAATGATTTCTGAAGGGTCATGTGACAAGACTGGAGTAATGATGCTGAAAATTCAACTTTGATCACAGAAATAAATTACATTTTAAAATATATTCAAATAGAAAACAGTTAATACACTGTCAACAGTGCTTTGCAATGATGAAAATAAATTCAATTTTAAAATGGCTTTCAACTGATCAGTTTTACAAAAGTGATTTGAGAAATGTACCTTTTATATACACCAGGTGGAGCAAGAGTCAGTCCAAACCTCACAGCAGCAGCTTCAAACTCAGCAGAGATCCCTGGATCAACGTATTTTTGATAACCTGCAGAAAGACGGTGCTGTGTGATTCAGCTCATATTATATATTCCATTATCAGCTCATATTTTTCACTAACCACTGTGAACAGTACTGCCCTCAGCAGAAATGACATACGTGGCATCTGTTACCCTGTAATGACGTCGATCGGCAAAGCCAACTGCATTTTACACAAACCATGAGAGAGATTTTAACAGACCACAGGTTAGTCTCGTGTAGCCAATCTTTTGTCTTGTGGCATAAAGTCTGCTCAAGTCTGCCCACAATCGCCCACGTTTTTGTTCAATATACCACAATAATAGACTAGTAACTTTATATTAAATAACTGTAAAGTGGAATATTCTGTTCGGCCTGTAGATATGAAATATCAGGATATTAATACCATTTGCAACATCAACATGCGTTTGATGTTGCAAATGGTATTAATATCCTGATTTTTATGTATGTTACCAAAACTTGTATAATAAATGTTACTTCTTTATCTCAAACCATGATCATATATATATATATATTTTTTTTTTTTAAACAATTATGTTTTTTTTGTAAAGTTAGCACAAAAAAAGTGATACCTCTATCAAAATGCAATTGGCTATATTAATTGAAATTACAAATATAAAATAATTAGTAATATCCACTAACATACATATAAGTGGAAGTGAATGAAATTCAAATTGTAGTGTGACCTTCAGACGGTCAGTGAACAGACTGTGGTCAGTAGGTGTGCCGACAAACCACAGACTACTGGAGCATGTGCACATTCGCACACACATACACA